TATCATAAGATTTAATTGTACTAGATGTTTCACGAAATCTGACCTATATCTATTCACTTATTACAACAACAACAACAACAACAACAACAAGAAGAAGCCTTTATCCCACTAAATAAGGTAGGCTACGTGTGTACTTTTTCTTCATTGTGTTCTATTGAGTGTCATATTTTCATTTAATTATATTGTATTAAGATCATTTTTTATACAATATGCCCAATTCCTTTTAGGTTTATCTCTGCCTTTCTTAACATAAGTTGAATCTAAAATATCTACTCTCTAGATCATCAGACGGTCGGCGTTTAATGTGACAAATCCATCTAAGACGACTCTCTCTAATCATGTCTTTAACTGGAGCTACACTAACCCTTTCACTGATAGATTTGTTCCACAGCTTGTCTCTATGTGTCAAGCCACTCATCCAACAAAGCATTCTCATCTCGACAACACTTAACTTTGTTTTATGCTTCTCTTTTAAAGGCCAACATTCTTCGCCATAAAGTATTGCAGGCCTCATCACCACCTTAGAAAATTTTCCTTCAAGTCTAAGCAATATTTTTCTATCGCACAATAGGCCTGATGCATTCCTCCACTTCAACCAGCCAACCTGAATTCTACTAATAACATCCCCGTCTATATCACCATCACTCCGAACAATAGACCCGAGATATCTAAAAGGTTACACCTTTTAATGATTTGATCACCATTAGTTACAACTTTGCCACTAGAGCTACTACTACTAAAATTATAGTTTATGTATTTAGTTTTAGATCTACTCAAACGGAGGCCTTTAGACTCTAATGTAGACCTCCATAGTTTAAGATTTTTCCCGAACTCTAGTTTTATGCACAAGGTACAACCTCTGTCCCTTCACTTATTGCTGTAATTAAATATGGGCTGCATATACATTGAGCAAATTTACTCGTTGATTGCTTTATCACCTGGATGAAGATTTACTTACATGCCACTCAATTCTTATTTATTTACTTTTCTAACACCTAAAAATCAATTTTTACATATATATGCTACCTTATCCATGCATGAAAAGGTGTATTTCACTTTTAAAAGTTTAAATAGTAGCTTTTTAGATGTGGTATAAAAGATTTGGGTGTTATAAATGTAACAAGCGAAGTTTAGGTGTTAGATATGTAAATATGTAAGAATTGAGTGGTATGTATGTGAAAGCCCCTTATTACTTTCTCCTAATGAATACCTGGCTTCTTTTTTTAGACATGATTTGTAGTGCTATTGGATATTAGTGTTGTGTGAGAAGTAATAGATGAAGATTAGCCAGACCATTCTGTATCTCCCTTATAGGTTTTTTTGTGTTGAGATGTCTAACGATGTATGATTCGGAATTTTGTAACAAAAATATAAGTTAACTCGACGTTAAACATGTAGAAAATGATTTGAAGGTGAAAAATTCATATACAAATGGGTGAGAGCTTGAATGAGCAAGCACATTCTTTGGTTAAATTCATTAATTATTAACTCGAACACAAATGAGCTCAAGTTTGTTAAGGAGTTGAATAACATGGTTATACTTCGTTCATTTGTTATCGAATCGAATATGCTTGTTGGACATATCAACACTTCTTTTTTCTTAATGATTTGGTAGTTTGAATTTTTTTTAATTTTTTATTTTTATAGTGCAATGTTTTTCAAGGCATTATGAAATGTCCATATTTTTTGAGAATAATTGGTGATTTTTAATAGTTAGCCTTTATCCCACTAAGTGGGGTCGGCTATATGAATTATTTTTTCTCTATTGTGTCCTATTGAGTGTCATATTTCATTTAACTCCAATAAATGAAGATAATTTTTATACAATATGCCGAAGTCTTTCTAGATCCATCTATGCCTTTCTTAATATAAGTCGAATCTAAAACATCTACTCTCCTAACCGGATCCTCTCCTAACCGGATCATCAGACGGATCATCAGATGATCGACGTTTACTGTGACCAAACCATCTAAGACTACTCGCTTTAATTTTTGTCCGTTACTGGAGCTATACCAACCGTATCACAAATTATATTCATTTCACATTTTGTATCTAAGTGCCATGCCCCTCATTTACCAATGCATTCTCATTTCAGCTACACTTAACTTAGTTTTATGCTTCTCTTTTAAAGGCCAACGTTCTATGCCATAGAGCATTGTTGATCTCACCACCATCTTATAAATTTTTTTTTTCAGTCCAAGCGGTACTTTTTATCACACAATAGGTCCGAAACATTTCTCCACTTCAACCGATCAACTTGAATTCTACTAATAGCATCCCCATCTATATCACATCACTTTGAACGATAGACTCGAGATATCTAAATAGTTCGCACCTTTTAATAATTTGATCACCCATAGTTACAACTCTGTCACTAGAGCTACTATTACTAAAATTACATTCAATGTATTCAGTTTGAGCTCTTCTCAACGAAGGCCTTTAAACTCCAAAGTAGTCCTCTATAATTCAAATTTTTCCTGAGCTCTTTCTCCTTTTTTATCCACAAGAAGGATATCATCAACGTAAAGCATACGCAAAGGTGCATCCCTCCCCCTATAAATGTCTAGTACGAGCATCCATATCTAAAGCAAAAAGATAAGGGCTTAAAGCTGAACCTTGATGTAATCTAACTGAAATAGAAAAATATTTGGCTAATCCTCCTGTTCGAACACAAGTTACAACTCTAGTATACATATCTTTAATGACTTGAATATAAGTTATATCAACACCTTTCTTCTCTAGAACTCTCCAAAAGATTTCTCTTGAAATCTTATCGTAAACTTTTTTCTAAATCAATAAAAATCATATGTAAATCCTCCTTATTCTCTCTGTACTTCTCCATCAAACCTCTCAATAAATGTATATAGCTTCCATAGTAGACCTTCCATAGTAGACCTGCCCGGCATAAATCCCAATTGATTATGAGAAATCTTTGTAGTACATCTTAACCTATTTTACCCTCTCCCATAATTTTAAATTATAACACATCAATTTAATTCTTCAATAATTTGCACACTCTTGTGCATTCCCTTTATTCTTAAAAATGGGGACTAAAATAGTCTTCCTCCACTCACGCATCTTTTTAGTCTTTAAAATAATACTAAAGAGTTTAGCAAGCCAAGAAACCCCCAAATCTCTTAAATATTTCCACATTTTATTTGAGATATCATCATGTCCTACAATTTTTCCACCATTATTTTTTTTAAAGCTTTCTCAACTTTTTGTTTATTAATGCGATATTAAAAGTGAAACATTTTGTTATTATTAACAATATTAAGATTATTAAAGTCAATCAAATTTTAGAAAACTTCTTTGAAAAGTTCATCAAAATAACTCAGCAATCTATATTAAATATTTTTTCTCCAAGAAATGCACTTTTTGATTTTCATCTTTTTTACACTTTTTCTTGAGTTTAATCTTTACTTTTATTTTCTATTTATTTGACTAATTTATACATTTATTTCTTCATCATCTTTTGTATCTAATTTATTATAAAGATCACTAAAAACAGATTTTTTAGCGTCACCGTTTGTTCTTTTAGACTCTCTACGGGTCATTTTATATTTTTCCCAATTATCTAAACTTTTACGTTTGAATCAATTTTTGTAACTGAACATTGTATATTATCTTTTCTTGTACATTATTATTCCGCCATCTATTTTTATCTATAGAAAGTTTTCCTTTTAATTTCCCAAGTATATCTTTTGCCACTTATTTAATAGTATTTGTTACTTTATCCCACATTGAATTTATTTTTTCATGCACATCCCAAATCTTGAAATCTTGAAGTTTACTCATAAAAATGATTTTATGTCTTATTGGTGTCCCCATCTAATTCTATAACAATGATTCATAGTATTCTTTATTTAACAACTCTTCATCTTAAAGTCCAGAACTAATAATCAATGTTGTGTACTTAAATTTTCACTTGAAATGATCTTACAATCATTATATTCTCGATGATCTCTTCTTCTCATAAGAAAATAATCAATTTGTGTTTTATTAGATCCATACAACTAATAATATACTCATGTCTTTTTTTGAACGAAGTCTTCACAATAACAAAATCATAAGCTAAAGCAAAATCTACTATGACCGAATCTTTTTCATTAATCACTCCAAAATCACAACCACCATGAATATTTCTAAAATCTTCTACCACTCTGCCTACATTTTCATTTAAATCTCCTCTATTAAAAGTTATTGCTTCAAGAAGTATCGTTTTTATTAATTCTTTTAGGTCATTCCTGAAATTTGTTTTTTAGAACTTATATCTAAACCCATTTGAGGAGCTTAAGCTGTCATAATATTAAAAATCTTAGTATCAACAACTATCTTAAGGGCTATAATTCTATCTCCAATTTGTTAATTTTTACAAAATTATATTTCGAACTCTTATCTATAATTACAACTACACCATTTATAGTGCGTCTGTTATCTGAACACCAAAGCTTATAACCTAAGCTTTCAATCTCTTTAGTCTTTTCTCCAATCATTTTATTTTATGAATACTTATGATATTACTTTTTCTATAAATCATATTAATTAATTTCATTAATTTAAATGTGAGATTGTTTATATTTTAAGATCGTATCTTAATATTAGTTGTTTTGACTAACTTCTTTACTCACATCCGTTCGTAATGTGAGAGCAGTTGCTTCTTTGACACTACCCCCAAGTGCCGATGTAAGAGTCCTTGCACACTTTTCACTGTATTCATATCATACAGTGTGTCGTTTCCAGGGATTGTTCTAGCATTTACACAATGATCAAAATGATTCATGTCATGATTTTTTGACAAATTTTACGCAGGCTGTTCATTAGCTAATGCAACCCTTTACACTTCACATCTGAGACTTGGGACTCGGCAACGGCAGTGTTTTATATATATATATATATATATGCATATAACTTGACACAATTGAATTGTTTTGCTGTTGTTTGTGTTCGACTCGGTATTACTGAAATTAATGCTTTCTTCTACTTGTTTACATATACAGAATTTGTTGCAAACAAGGGGTGGAAGAAAATTGGATGTTGACTCTGTATTGAGTGTGGATGCCCGGAATACTCGTAGACAACCTTCTTCAACAATCGTCGGTGGCTTGCCGCCCTTAGGAAGGTAAATTGCGAAAATTCTGGCACTTTGAGCAAATTTTTTTCCCCATTTTAATCTGGCCTCTTTTTTCTGAGCATGTTTTGGCTGTAATTATTCAGGCATGGCCAAACTTCACAGTCATCAGGTAAGCAAAAGTATTTTCGTACTTTTTTTTTTGGTAATGAAATTTTCTTTCTAAATATATGTTTAAATGTATTCTTTTTCCGTGTCCTGTGGCGTTCAGATCGAAGGTTAGGAGCCTCTGCTACCAATTTTCGAAAGGATGAGTACAATTGGAGATATGAAAATGACCTCGCTGAAGATGTGCTCAGAGCTTCCAATGCGCTGGAGAACATTCAGCTGGACAGAAAAGCTCGTACTTTGTCTACATCTTGGAGGTAATTTGCAGTTTGAACCTTCCCAGTAATCCCTATGGTTAAAGAACTTTAAAATTAGATTCATTGTTGTGGCCTTGGCTTTTGATGCTTGATGCTATGCATTTAATATTTTTGTTAACTTTATTTTTGTGGACAATGTACCTATAACATTGAAACATTTCTTATTTTAATTGAATTATAAAATCCCTATTTGCCCTTCTTTAAACACTTGTTTTAATAATCTTTTTACTTCCTAACTCGATCACCAAAGTCCGGCTATCATTTTGTGATATATTTCTAAAATCTCGAATTTCTAAGATTATATTGTTGAAGGAGCTAGCTTTTTTATCACATCAAGTATGGCTTGCCCAAAGACTTCTAATTTTACCTTTTTGTGACAACTTATTTTGAAAGACTAATTTTCTTTCAAATCCCACGATCTTATCTTGGTTCAATTATCTTATTTGGTGGCAATTTCCCCATGTTACACCCTATTATTTCTTATTTTTAGAATAGCCGCGCTCCTAGGTTTATTTATCATATTCTCACTTAAATATCAAAATTCACCATAAAACCTCAATGATTTTTTTTTTTTTCATCATTTGTTAAATTCTCAATTGTTTGTACATTGGCAAGCTCAAGTGCACGGGTTTAATATTTTACTTTTTTTTTTAATAGGTGTAAGATTTGTAAAAATGCGTAGTTTTGATGGCATAGGCATATATGCATAATTCTCCCCATTTCTTTTGATCGAATGGAGTTTGAGTGTTGGGTATTAGAAAAAATGTTTAGCTTGGAAAAGAACAACTTTAAATTTGGATTTGTACAAAAAATAAGACTAGTTAATGAAGAAATTTTAGAGAGGAATTGTTAGGGACATCTTTTCATGGTAATTGATAGCTTATTTATGTGATTTTGATATTTAAATCAAAGCGTGTAGAATGAATCAGTAATACGCGTAAAAATGGTCTGATTTAAGATAACCTGGATACAAGATTGAGAATTTGCCAAGAATCAGTTTAATATTTATTCAGTTTATTACTTCTAAACTCACTGTAAAATGAATGAAAATTGAGAATTAATAAAGATTAATTATGATGTCATTATACATCAGCATCAGTAATTATTTAACAAAACTAATATATTCATGGAGTCATGGTGATAGTTTTCATATATATATATATATATATATATATATAAAAGAAAAAAAAATTTCATTTTATAAATAAGGAAGATTTTTATTTTAAATATGCAAATATTCCTGATGCAGGAACGCTAGTGATGGCTTCGTTGAAGATGATGCAAAGGCAGAGCGCTTATAGTTTCTTAGGATGCGCAGGGTTTGCCATGTTTCTCTTAATTTTTTCTATTTATTCTTGAGGATTATTTTTTCTGTGATGATACATCGCTCTGGTTCCTATGTTAACTTTGAAAGGGCTTTCAAACTCAAAATGTTTCCTAAATATTTTACACGAGGCATATTGTATTAATAGCTTTGTATAGTTCAGTAGTCCATTGGGCATTTACATGAATACCATCCGTTTCTTATGTATTTATGTATCTATCACTTAAATTTTATTTTTAAATTATACCACCCAAATCTTTGATATCACAAAAAATATGAGTGAAATACAACTCTTCTTGCATAGGCAAGGGGGCATAGAAGTAAAACTTGAATTTTTGTTGTTAGATGAGTAAGTACATAAGAATTGAGTGGTATGCATGTAAATTTTCCTAAATATGCCATGTATTGACTGCTTTACTAGTGAGCAGACGATGTAGGAGCTACCCGGGAGCCTATTTCCATGTCTTTGCAGTATTTCGTGATCTACTACAATCCCACGATCATGTGGGCTGCAGTTTTTGTTCTTGGACCAAATTGATCTAGATTTTTTCTTTGTTGTGGAGTCGCCTGTCCCTCTTGTGCCACTCATCACTATCCTCTTATTATTCAATTTTTTTAATGTTTGAAATTGAGGAGTTTGTTTTGGATAGCTGTTGATGTCATTTTTCTACCTTCAAGGGTTGTTTTAGATATTGAGTGGTGCCCTGTCTATATCACTCTCCCGAGGTGGTGATTATCTTCAATATTCCCTTATATATCCTTCCCATATTGCTCTTGGTTGTCCCTTATTGCTGCAGCCACCCTTGAACAATTGATGTTGTTCTTCTAACAATTCCTCGTTGTCCAACTGTAATCCTCGTTGTCACAACCCCATGATTGCTCTCCTTTGGTTGTTCTGCTGTCATCTACATTTTTCACAGTTGCTGTCATTCTCGCTAGCCGCCATTGTCCGGAAATAGTCATTTCTCATTGTTTTTTGTAGTTTTAGTCGTCTATCCAGCCGTTTCCTTTATTCCAGCTTGATGCTATTGCCAGAACTCCCCTTCGTTGACGTCGTTCTTATCCCATTCTATTGCAACCTAGGATTGCCCTTTCCAATCGTTTTGTTGTTGTCCAACCCCTCTTTTTTGCTGCCATCACCTTAGCCAACATTCTCTCATCATCCCTTGTTATTTTCTTGTTGTCCTACACCGGGAAAATAACTGTCTTGTTGTATTATGCTTACAAATAATCTTTTTTATCCCCGTGCCATCTTGCATATCTTTCTCGCCACCATCTCTGGATCTACTCCTAATTGCATGTAGTATTGTGTTGTATCTATTGCTATTTTAGGTTTCAGAGTGTTGTGTTGTATTTACCCTTTCAAGTGAGTTGATTGTAACCATTTATTTCTTTTCAATAATAATATTTTCTTTTTCTATTGTGGTTTGTGTTACCTTCAATATCATTTGGTATCAGAGCTAGTCTAGCCTTGCTCTTATCCTAAGGTTTCTGACATCCACTATACCCAAACCTACCTACAACCGACCCCCCTAAATATTTACCCCTCATTTTCTACTCAAATCATCCTTAGACCCTACGTCACCCCTACATGCAGAAGTGGTCGATTGATATGATCGGTCCGGAGGCGGTCGATCAAAAGTGATTGTTCGATATGATTGGGCGGGAGGTGGTCGATAATCGGGTCAATGGAAGTAGTTGATCAATACAATCAGATCGGAGAAAGTCGATCAATCGAATTGACGGAAGGATAGTCAATCGAGCTAGCCGATGTTAGCATCTGGTCGCCAACACAATGTAAAAAAGATAATTTAATGCACATTTTAAAGCCATGCGGTGCACACACCATACATGCGAACACATGCAAGCATGAAACCTAATCAAATTTGATGATCACTCGGGCTAGTCCTAGTGATCTCATGGGAATCTATGCTAGGATGGTGATGAAGTGCACCAACTAATTATGATGGAGAGCGACATACTACCTACCTCCCTTTGTTCGACATAATATGAAAGATTTTTGCGAAAGAAAATCTTTGTAGTCTAGAGAACATCAAAATCATATATATTTCGTTCTCTAGAGCCGAACGAGTTTCTTTCTTCACATCATGAGAACAAAATTACCGACACAAATGTGGGGAGTGCTACAATCCCGTCTTTCGATTTTAAATCTAAGGGTATGGGGGAAATTTTATGGTGCGTGGGGGATCACAAAGGAAAATGGCTCCTAACCTTGTGAGTCACTCTAGTACAGCTTACTTTTACATCTCTAATACAAACATCTTGGCAGGCTTGCTAAAAAATGAAGAAAACTGTGTTAAGAAGAAGTTTCATCACTGTGATGTTTGACGAAGCTTTCTTTGGGTTGACCGTGCTCCTTTGCGGTGGGGACGATGGAGAAGACGTCTTCCTTCACTGACATAATGAAGAAGCTCTCCTTGCTTAAAGAGTTCCTTCTAGTTGTTATCTCAAACTCACCTCACGATGTCATTGGAGAGGAAGAAGAAGAAGGCAAGGAGGAAGATGGCCGATCGAGGTCAGCAGAGAGGGATGGAGGAAGACAACGTTGGCTTGCTTCTTCCCTCTGGCTCTTCTCTCTGAGGAGGATGAGCAATCCCACATGCTCTCTGCTCACTGGAGAAAAAAACTCCCTCGCTTGAATGGCTAGACCCCCCTCTTCCCGCGAGTGTTCTACCCGAGAGGATATCTACTCTTGATTCAATGAACTGACGAAGTTTCTGTAAGAGAAATGAGCTCGTTCCCTCCCTCCTAATTGCCATTTTAGGATTAATATCTAGGCAAATCCTTATGTCTAGTTGTTAATAGTGGATAATCGTGATTTTTTGAGACCAATTGCGTGAAATTAATCGAAGCAGGGCTTCCAGGCATTGCCACCCTCCAAAGAAGGCGTGGCGATGCTGAGGCACTTTGTGGGGTGGTCACATTTGAAGGAGGCGTGGCCATGCCGAGGTATTCCTTGGCATGATCACGCTCGTCTCGGGCGTGGTCACGTCGAGTGACTTCAAGCATAGCTCCTTAAGTGTTGGTCAGGGATTTCATGGATCATTCAAACCACAGAAGTTTCAGATGACTGAAGTACGTCCTCCAGACATTAGCATGATCGTTAAGCATGCCTCATATCAGGTACCGATGCTGATCAATGGTGAACGGAAATAAGAGTGCAAAGTGCAACTATTATAATAAGAGTGCAACTATTATATTTAAATATTGGGATACTATACAAGTATACGTATCGTTATCAAGTAATATATGACATTTTGATTAAGCTCCAAATATCGAACCTATAGAGAATACTACAACTTTTTAAGAAGAAATTAGATAACAAAGTATACTTTGAAAAATATTCTTACCAAAACTATAGATGCTATAATAGGAATGAAAGTTCAATTCTTTTTGGTAATTTTTGACAATTGAAAATAAAGTAAACTAACTAAAGTTAACTAGATATTTGTAAGATGAAATTAAAATAAATAAAATATTTTTTTCCTTATCATGAATTATTAACAAGTATAAGAGTTATGTTGTAGAAGTATTCAAATTGTGTTGTGTAAAAAAAAAGCAATATTATCTTTTACCCTTGCTAGAGATGCTATAAAGAACATTAACTAATTTATAATTTGAATAGTCTTGAAAATGGGCTAGGTAGGGAATATACTAGCTCTCACTCTAGAGTTCTCTCTTCTCCCTCTATTAGGGGGCTAACATCTCGTATCAAAACCTAAAACAATAAACCGAATTAGGGGCTTTAGCTTGTCACTCTAAAGTCTTCTAACTCTACACCATTCAAAGTTTATTTCCCTATTTATTTGCACTAAACCATATGAATTACATTCTCATCCATACAATCTCATGTGATTCTTACCATTAGTTGACCGTGATAATACCATCTCGGATCTTACATGTTCTCACAACAAATATTAACATCTTAATTGGTCAAATCAAGAAGTAAATGAAGTACAATGATTAAAATCATCACAACTTATTCCGACATTAAATACCAATACTTCACACAACTTCCATCCAACACTTAATCACTTATCATTTTAAGAAAAAAAGATAAAGAAAATTACTCAGAATTCATGGAGAAAACACAACACTTAAGTTTAAAAGTAGAAATCATGTAAACACACAAGAAGTCTAAATTAAAACCAAATGTAGTCACAAAGATAAAAAAATATCTCAAATTCCTCTCCACCAAACTCTTGAAGTTCCTTTGAATCTCTTCTCTTCCTTTCTCTTACAATACTCTCTACTAACACACTACAACTCCCTTTCTTCTCTCTAAGAGTATCCTAATTAATCTATGGAGGGGCGGCGGTGGCTAATTGAGTCTTTCCCAATCATTCAATCCAAGTCTTCTTTTATAATTTTTCAAAAGGTGCTTTGGTCTCTTTAAAATGTGCCAACATTCAATGAATCTTCTAAGAGTTGCCTGATTTCAATAACCATTTGAATTTATTTTCATGTCCATTAACCATAAACCATGTTTTCACCAAGAGTTGCTTCAAACACCCATTAAAAATTTTTTCCAAATTCATTGAATTATTAAATAACTACCTTTGGCGCGTAAGCACGAGGTATGTGGCACTTAGGCGCAACTTTCTCTGTTATCTTGGAGCTTAAGCTCTAGTCCTTGGTGCTTAAGTGCTACAGTTCTTTTGCACACATTCTTCATTATTGCTGCAAATTTGATCATTTTTCACTTCTTTCACCATTTTTATCCATTTGACTGTATCTAAAAGAAAACCACACAAATACATTCCATTAAAACACAATATTCTCAAAAATAGGTATAAAAATGTGTACATAAATGCTATATATTTTAGGTGTATCATGGATCAGACTATTATTCTTCTCTTGGTGTACCTCGCTCATTGCTTTCTTGGGCAGGTATAATCAACTACTTCCTTGATTCTAGAACCTTCTGTTTAATCACCCTTAACAAAGACGTTCTGAAATCTTTAAAGTATAAAGTGGTTTCGACCTCCACTAGGGTGGTTTGTTAGGAGAGATAAGCATCAAAATGAGTTTGTTATGGAATCAACCATTCTTTCCAAATATTTTGGACTGGGCCTTAAACTTTAAAATTATTTCATCTTCCATCCGAATTCAGCTTGCTTTAAA